TCAAGCTGCAGTATGCAAGAGGCCTTAGAGTGATAGCTACCATCTTCCAGATAATGGTGTCATCATCTCACCTCTCTGCCTTGTCTAATTGGAGAACATCTTGCATTAAAAAAATACAAAGTTTTCTGTGAATGGTGGCAACATCAAGCGATTGTGGTTGCTATGCAGAGGGGAAGAAGACTGGCATAGGACCTAAAAATTACTGATATCTCTGTAGTAGCTCAGACTACTACAGTGATTTGCAGCCTCGACAATGATTACTGGGGTACAGGGGCGGACTGACAACTCATGGGACCCCCGGGCAATAGGGGACCATGGGGCCTCTGTGTCCTTTCCCAAACTCAAGCCTATGAAAAAAGGTACCAGGGGCATCTCATGGGGCCCCCTACTGACCTTGGGCAGTGCCCGAGTTTCCAAATGGTCAGTCTGCCCCTGCTCGGGTATGAGATTTTTACTTACATTGTGCCAAGCTGGAGCAATATAAGTGCAATAAAGGTCATACCTAGAGTTCAGTTTGAAAGGCTCATGCACATCGGCAGTTTGGCCCCTACAGCATAAAAGCACAGAAAGTTTGGATGCAATAGAGGCAAAGGTGTAGCCTACAGCCCTCTGCCAGCAGCCTATAGGAAATCAATGACAGGCTTACATGCCTAAACACATATGGCCTTTGTGAAAAAAGAGAAGAAGGCCAAGTAAATTCTATGGAAAGAAATTGCTAAAGATTTGTAAAAGTATTTATTTAGATCCAAATATTTTTGGACTGCCTGCACCCAAGGTACTAGCACTATGATTGCTATACCCATAGCATCCAACTGTCCCTCATTTGGAGGGACTGTCCCACTTTTTGCACAAAGTCCCTCTTTCCTCCTCTTTTGTTCCTCATTTTAGTCTGATGTGTATACCTATATAAAAAAAAATTTATTTTGCAGTGCTAAAACCTTTTCGTCTAATTTTTTGAACTGTTGCATTTGTAAATTTCAAAAGCCAGTATAAAAGAATAGTAGTGGTAATAAAAAGCAGCTGTGGGTTTAACAAATCGTTTTTTGTTTCATTTCTCAATATGGCAGGGGTGTGTCCTTTGCCTACATACTTTTCTTTATTCTCCGATCTTGGAAAGTTGAGAGGTATGCAATACCACACACAATGGACAGGCTAGTTATTCTTCTGCTCAGTCTATGTGGTATGTGTACTGTATATCCTGACCCCTTTACACCTGTATTGAGATCATTTTGAAATTTAACTTTCTGTGTTGAGGAAGCAGTTCTGCAAGGAGGGAACGTGTTGGTCAGCAGAGACAGTGATATCATCAATATCCTCCACACTGAAGCCTGCTATATCAGGTATAGGCAAACCCAGAAAGTATGTAGGCATCGCACTTAAAAATGTTAGTTAGTGTTTTTTCAAAGACCATTTTTATTCCTGTGCTCTGGCACAATAATTTGTATACACTCCTTTTCATTGATAAAATATTTTTATTTAGTTGAAAAAAAGAGGACTCAGTTTCTGTGGATCAGTATTTTTTTTTTCTTGATATTCAGAGATGATGGCTCTTCATGCTGTTTAAAGGATTATAGCTCAAGGAGTTATATGGTTTTGCACTAAAAACTACTTTCCATACGTTCTATTGTTCCTCCATTTTTATGGTTTATCTTCCTTTTCTTGATTTTCATTTGTGGTTTCCTAACTGATTGCTCAAAAATATGTACAGTTGATTACAGCAAAAAGAGGGTACGAAGGTAAGTTGTTTTTTTTTTTTTTTTTGTTTTGTTTTTTTTTTTGGATGAAGTGTAATTTTATTTTTTGCCAATTAATAGGTTCTAGTGTTGTCTCTCATTTTAAGGAAAAATGTTTTTTTGCTACATACAAACTTATGTGTAATGTGCAGGGGAATGGAGGATGGGAACACGCAGTAGCAGCAGCGCAGGTGGAGCTTCAGGGGATTCTCCAGAAGGCTCCCACAACAGTTCCGGATCTCGCGGTGGACTTCAGGATGATGATGATGAGGAGAACGTTGACCTGGCGCAGGTACTGGCGTATCTTCTGCGCAGGTAACAACACACCCCACATGCCATCTATTGCACTTCAGAAAAACATCTTCATCTGTTTCTACTATTCTGGCCTAAACATATTTACCAGCCAGAATTGGATCTGCCTTCTTGATGATGATCTGCGCTATATCACTTTCGTACAACTTCTCAGTTGCTCCTCAGACTGATATTCACCTATTTCTCCACCAAGGAGACACACTTTATTCAGCTCAGCATGTTTCCTTGTTCTGTAATAAATTCAAAAAAAAAAAAAAGGCAGACTTTCCATGCTAAAAAAATATATATATATATAAACTTTAGCATATTTCCTTTATCATGATAATTTGCAATATTTACCCATATACAGACATTATCTTATGTTAGATATAATGTTGATGGTAGTTTTTTTTTCATATTTGTAGTAATGTATTATTGGAGCAGTCCATTCAGATAGTCTCTGATGTAAAGCTTTATGTACATATAGCCAAAAACAGCTTACATTTAATACATTTTGATCATTTTGAGACTTACAATAAATGCCACCTTAAAAAATACATCCTTGACTTGAAATTACTTAATAAAATTTTGGGTAAAATCTTAAAAATCCCTCTACTCTATCTTTAAAGTGGTTCTAAAGCCAATACATTTTTTACTTTTAATGCATTCCCTGCATTAAGTTAAAAAAAAAAAAAATCTCAGTAACGTATTACCCCCACCCCTTAAAGACTCACTTGATCCAGTGCTGTGCCTGTCTGTAGCACCTCTGCCCACATGCATTTAAAGGCTTTGCTGAAGCGGCCTACGCCATTGTCTCCTGCTGCTGTCAAATGCCCACATGTCTGCCCCCATTGCAAGCACTTACTATGGTGGCAGACTCAGAAGAGGAAGAGCAGAGAGCGCCAGCAGGAGACCCCAGAAAAAGAGGTTCGGGGCCGTTCTGTGCAAAACAATTGCATAGAGCAGGTAAGTATAATATGTTAAGGATGAGGTTTTATTTTTTTTTTTTTGTTTGTTTTATTAAATAATAAAAAAACACTTTTAGTAGTTTTAGGTACATAAGGCTGCATTTGCACTAGAAAATGTGGAAGCCAGGACGGCATAGCGTTTATTTTAGACTGTAGTCTTATGTGAGTTTTTTGTAGTATAAAAATGGTGTAATGGACGTTACATGCTTAAAATCATTCAGCAGAATTGAAAAGCCAAGTTATTTCTGACATATATAGTGAAATTATCAGCTGTAAAATGATTCCTGGCTCCCTGTCCGTTTATGAAAGCATACTCTAATCAGTTTCAGAATGCGTGAACTGATAAGAAAGTGCACCAGCTTGATTTTAGCTATGTAGCAGGTATACATGTTGCGTAACTTATAAAACGTTCTCCTAGCAGGGAATAGTTTACATATAGATTGGTACAGTCCTACTGTTAATATTTAAACATTAAACAATAAAATCAGGCTGCATGAAATCAGTAAGTGCTATATCTTACTTTTTTTTTTTTTTTTCTTTTTCTTTTAAGAGGCTGCAGCTAAAGGCCTCTGTTCTCTGTGTGTTGCAATCAGAAATGCACACACTGATTGCAGTGCTATAGCGATGACAAGGTGGGGTAGCATGTTGGACCACTGTACAGAGAGCGCTGCTCTCAAACAGGGTGTGTATGGTTGGGCTTTATTTATGAATGATGTTGTTATAGTTGTAATTCCCGTTAAATAGAATGTATAGTGGTTTTATTATTTCAGCCAGCAGGTGACGTTTTTCAATATGCTTTTAGTTTCTTTTCATATATTCTCTACCCTTATCTGCTTTGCCTAAATCCTAAGCGCAACTAAAACAAAACAGAAAAATCATCACAAGGGACATACCTTACAGTCAGCAGGATGTGACCCTTGTGCTGATGCCTCTTCTGTTGAAATCCTCCTTTGTCCATACCCTCATACATGATCATTTTCCATCAAGAGAGCCTGACTGTGCCAATGCTTTTCACCCAGCTGGTTCATTCGTAGAAGCCGTACTACAGCATCTATAATTAAATTTGATCTATGAATGGAGGACAGGTAAATTATTGATAGCCCTGCTCCCTCCACTTATCAATCCTGTATCATTCATAGAATAGAATAGTAGGCTTTATATGAATGGAGCAGCTGGGGGAAAGGAGAGGCATAGTTGGGCCCTCTTAATGCGAGCCACTTGCAGCCCCTTAGTTGTATTAACCCCCGCTGCACCAGAAGGTTATGGTAGCAGGGGCGGAGAGAGGGCATGATGGAGGAGGATTTCTACTATCAGAAGAGGCATCAGCACAAGAGGAACATCCAACTGATTGTAAGTTATATCCCTTGTGTTGATTTTTTCTGTTTATTTTGGCATCACGTAGACTTTAAGACAGCCTATGTACAGTCCTCAGTAGCTCAACCTGAAATTTACAGTGCAAGTAAACCGCTTATGCTATGCCCTTTTTTAAATAATCCATAGTGCTCTGTAAACGTTCTCATGGGTATACCCTGTTTTAAATATGTTTTTGTAAATTAAAACTGCCAAAATAAATTGTTTAAAAACTATTATTTTACAGCTGATTTTGCACTAAGATTTTAAACAAAATAAAACAGACCCAAATCCATTATAATTCCCTTTTCTAGTCTGCTGCCATATGTAGAGCATAGAATGACAAACTGTTAGTTCATGAAGGGCATCACAATTATTCTATCATATTATTTAGTTCTGCATCTATCACTTGTCCTGTTCATGCATCACTACCTAAAATGCAATCAAATAAACAAATTATCTGATTGTGCACTTCACACTTACATTGACAGCAAGAGTAATAATTCAAGAATATCACTATACAGCTGAGTTACATCCAAATGACTTTGCTTTTACCACCTTCTTTTTGTTCAAAGCTCCCTTCCCTAGTTGGAAGAGAAGTGACTAAAAAACAGACTTGTGTTTTGGCAGCTGATATATTTTGTCATTTCTCTAAATCCACAGAGGGCAGGTGCGGCTAGTTCAGGGAGGAGTTCCTGCAAGTGTGCATCTGATACAGTCCTTATCCGATTCTGATGATGACAATGACAGTGCGTGGGAGGGATGCTTGGGAGATCGCTACAACCCTCCTGGTAAGTGACTTCTGTATCTTTAGAAGCATGGTCTCAGAATTCAGCTCTATTTCATCTAACAGCTGTTTAAAAGTATGCTGTTTATTAATGTCACTGTTCTTTAAACTTGAATACAGTGCCTTGAAAAAGTATTCATTCCCCTTTGAAATTTTCTACTTTTTGCCATGTTACAACCAAAAATGTAAATGTATTTTATTGGGATTTTATGTGATAGACAAACACCAAGTGGCACATAATTGTGAAGTGGAAGGAAAATGATAAATGGTTTTCACAATTTTTTACAAATATCTGAAAAGTGTGGTGTGCCTTTTTTGTATTCAGCCCCCTTTTTACTCTGATACCCCTAACTAAAAATCTAGTGGAACCAAAATACAGGTGTTCTGAGAAGCCCTCAGAGGTTTGTTAGAGTACTTTAGTTAAACAGCATCATGAAGGCCAAGGAACACACCAGACAGATCAGGGATAAAGCTGTGGAGAAGTTTAAAGCAGGGTTAGGTTATAAAAAAATATCCCAAGCTTTGAACATCTCACGGAGCACTGTTCAATCTATCATCCAAAAATGGAAAGAGTGTGGTACAACTGCAGACCTACCAAGACATGGCCGTCCACCTAAACTGATAGGCCGGGCAAGGAGAGCATTAATTAGAGAAGCAACCAAGAGGCCCATGTTAACTCTGGAGGAGCTGCAGAGATCCACAGCTCAAGTGGGAGAATCTGTCCACAGGACAACTATTGGTCGTGCACTTCACAAATATGGCTTTTATGGAAGAGAGGCAAGAAGAAATTCATTGTTGAAAGAAAGCCCATTTGCAGTTTGCAAGAAGCCATGTGGGGGGACACTGCAAACATGTGGAAGAAGGTGCTCTGGTAAGATGAGACCAAAATGTTACTTTTTGGCCTAAAAGCAAAACGCTATGTGTGGCGGAAAACTAACACTGCACATCACCCTTAATACACCATCCCCACCGTTAAACATGGTGGTGGCTGCATGTTGTGGGGATGCTTTTCTTCAGCAGGGACAGGGAAGCTGGTCAGAGTTGATGGGAAGATGGATAGAGCCAAATACAGGGCAATCTTAAAAGAAGACCTGTTCAAGTCTGCAAAAGACTTGAGACTGTGGCGGAGGTTCACCTTCTAGCAGGACAATGACCCTAAACATACAGCCAGAGCTACAATGGAATGGTTTAGATCAAAGAATATGCATCTGTTAGAATGACCCAGTCAAGGTCCAGACCTAAATCCAATTGACAATCTGGCAAAATGTAAACTGCTATTCACAGAAGCTCTGCATCCAATCTGACAGTGCTTGAGCTATTTTGCAAAGAAGAATGGTCAAAAATTTCCCTCTTTAGGTGTGCAAAGCTGGCAGAGACATACCCAAAAAGACTTTCAGCTGTAATTGTAGTGAAAGATGGTTCTATAAAGTATTGACTCGGGGGCTGAATACAAATGTACGCCACACTTTTCAGATATTTATTTGTAAAAAAATTTGAAAACCATTTATCATTTTCCTTCCACTTCACAATTATGTGCCACTTTGTGTTGGTCTATGACATAAAATCCCAATAAAATACATTTGTTTTTGGTTGTAACATGACAAAATGTGGAAAATTTCAAGGGGTATGAATACTTTTTCAAGGCACTGTATGTTCAAATTTAGCATAGTCAAGAAACTTACACTTATAGATATAAACCAACTTAACGGCTTTACAATCATAATATGAAAAGATAGGGTGGTTGGGCCTTAACTCCCAGGTGCCACATATCTATTTCGCTGTCCTGTTTCTTTGACCAAGCTATCACTCACTACTCACAGTCAACTACTAATGATTGGAAGTTGGTAGGATAGGCTCCCCGTAATATCAGCACTGCCACATGTAAAGCCAGTCACAGGTGCCTCCGGTATCATGGCTAATTTAAACCACTGAATCCAGTCAGTGCAAAGGGGTTAACTAAAAAGGTGGTGGAAGAATCATTTGTTTAAGTAAACAATATCACAAATGAAATATTTAGGTGTGGTGGTGCAGCACAAACTAACTACATTATGTTTCAGACAATCTCCTTCCCCTTTTGCAGCATCTGCAGACTAAATGTAGTGCCTGGTCTTCCCTTCCTGTTAGTAACATTGGCCGAGTAAATCTTTTTAAAATGATTTTTTTTTACCTAAATTTCTTTATTTTTTTCACCAAACGCTTCTGTTGTGTGGATAGTATTGTCTCTGTGTTTCTCTGGGCTGGGGGAGCTCCTAGACTTTCCAGATCTACCTTACATTACCAACTAATCATGGTGGCCTGGCACTGCCTTAGCTTCTCTACTATACCACTGGGCGGCTGTCTTTAGTTACAGTGCGCTGGTGGTTCTCCCAGCCTAGGGACAACGCGGTGGTGATCCTGGAAGTTGCTATACTGGGCTCTTATGCAGAGCTCAGTAACCTTGTTTATAGGGGCTTGAAGTCCAACCCGGCCATCACTAGCCCTATGCAGACAACCCTGACAGTATGGAGGCAGGCTAGGGTTCAATATGGCATAAATACCACCTACTTCCCCTACATTCCACTCTGGGGCAACCCTACACTTCCTCATCTGCAAACGGTTCTGGATCCTGCTGTGTGGGCTCAGTATAGCATGTCCGATCTGTGTGCTTACAGTGAAACACACCCCCCCCCCCCCGCCCCCTAGTAAAACACTCCCTACATATAGTTAACCCTTTGATCACCTCTCATGTTAACCCCTTCCTGCCCAGTGTACAGTGCCAGTGCTTTTTTTGTTTTTTTAGCACTGATCACTGTATTGGTGTCACTGGGGATGTCAGTGACACCACGATAATTGCATGACCGCGCAATTGTCAGTTAACGCAAAAAATGGCCTGGTCAGGAAGGGGGGTAAATCCTCAGGGGGGCAAGTGATTAAATAATGTGCGGCTACTCTGTCTGGAGTATATTTTGACCCAGTGCTGCGTATGCTGCCACAGTGCATGTTGGTGAACTGGCTGTGCTTTCTGGCAGGGGTTCTGGATAACAAAACTAGCTGCATATATATATTTTTTTTTTTTTACATCCTGGTATTCAAAAAGATGATAAAGCAATCTCATGACTGCTGGTGCATCAGTGAGCTTGGTATTGATTTTTTTTTAGGTGGCAGTAGACTTTCAAGTAAATGTGATCCAAGTGGCTGTAGAGCCACCAAGTCACTTTTAGAAGATTCTGAAGGCACTGCCACTGATGGCTATGAGGGTTCACAGGGTTCTCCTGTTTTCTCTGGGGAGACCAGGAAAGCAGTAAATGTACTGCAACTCTTCCAGGTTCAGAGCTGTCATTCCTTGGCCACTGTAGCTTGGGAAGCAGCTAATCAAGCATGATCTGTTCTTGATTAGCTGCAGTGAAAGGCAGGGGAGACATTGGAGTTCCTGATGTGTCCATAAAGAGAACCTAATGCAAGTGTACAATCCAAACGCACACGTTCCTGCGTTAAAAATGGCTGTGTGTATAAGTGGGTGCTGCAGCGACCGTCGGCTGGAACCAAACAGAATCAGCAAGGGAAAATGTCACCAGCACACCGAGGATCACCAATATGGGTCCAAAGGTTTTAATGAACGATCACATAGTTACAGCAAGGCAACGTTTCGGACCATGCCTGATGAAGGGGTCCTGCGAGACTCCGAAATGTTGCTTTGCTGTAACTATGTGATCGTTCAGTAAAACTTTTGGACCCATATTGGTGATCCTCGGTGTGCTGGTGACATTTTCCCTTGCATAAAAAGGACCTGTCACTTGTCTATGCGATTTACCTAGTGGGCTTCTTAGCCCCTCAAAGTTAAGTGAAAAAGTCTTACAATTATAATAAAATAGATAAAAATACAGAAAAATAAAAAAAAAAAATTAAAAGCTCCCCTGATGCCCCCATACACACCCAAATGCATGGTAACCCTAAAATGATAACCTGTAAAGTCGTGGGGGTTTTTTTATTATATTCTGGGCACTCACAATTTTTAAGGCTTGTCACGATTTGCTTGGCACAAGCCCATTTTTATATATATATATATATATATATATATATATATATATTTATATATATATATGCCTCTTGAGGGTTAGGGACTGATGTGAATGTACAATCTATATGTAAAACGCTGCCTAAATTGACGGCGCTATAGAAGTACCTGAAATAAATACATATATTCTGTTTTTGTGTACTAATATATAAAATATAATTTCCTTAAAATATGCATTAATAAACAGTTGCGCAAATACTGCAACTAAAAGATTGCAACTCTCACATTTTTCCTCTACAGGGTCTCTGCTTTTAGAAGAATAATTGTTTAGGGTTTTACCCCTTGGCGCTGGCACCTCCTGGCCCTTTAAGGTTTGTGGAGGCGAGGCAGGGTCATGTGAGCGCTGTGATTGGCTTTTACAGAAGTCACATGATTGGAAAGGTCTCGATTGCAAGAAGGGCCGGTAAATGTGCCGGTAGCGCAGGGTGCAGGCTCTTGACACATGTTTGCTTGCTTTGGGTACGCAAATATGTGGCCTCTCAGTATCAAGGCCCAGCCGCTGAAAGGCCGCGTATTTGCGTACAAGTGGCACCAACAGGTTAAAGTCATTTTGTACAAAAATTGCAGATTTCTTTATCGTACATCACGGGACACAGTGCAGACTATAATCATTACTATCTGGGTTATGCGCCACCTGTAGGTAAATGGACACTGGCAGATCAAACGAACAGGAAGTTCTGCCTCCCACCCATATAACCCCTCCGATACAGAAAGTACTTTCGTTTTTTTTTTCGCCTGTGTCTCTAAAGTGGATGGCCACTGAAGTGCTGCAAATGCTTGGAGCACTTGGAGGTCCGGAACAGTTCTGCTGTGAATCAAGGACATCAGTCGGATTCATTAAAAAACCTGTTAGCCAAAGTGGATGGTACGCGAGCCTCGCTGGATAAGAAGTATCCTCAGGGTTTTGCCTGTAATGCAGCCTTACTGCACTGGACCCAGTGTAATAGAAC